TTCCGTAACATGCCTTATTAGTCGCTAGGGAATTCTTACATCAAAGTATCGGTAGAGAACAAAATAATACAACATTTTCAATAATTGATAACGGATATTAATATTTTATTATTACAAGAGATGAAACCACCCCAGGGAAACCGTTCCGCTTTGGTTCTATCCTCAGCAGCCAAACTTACTTCTTTCCGCCTGGGAGAAAGGTCGTTATATAATGAATTTTATAATTCATCACTCTAGTACTCAATTTCCCTCCCAGACATCTACTCTCTAAAACTATTAGATATAGAGGGGAAATATCCAAAGAGCGTCGGAAACTTATTTAATAAAAAGTCTGGGCTGCACTCCTATATTTAATAATATGTTTACTTGATATATTTTGTATTTTTTCACCACATATACAGTCAGTCTCGATAAGTCGGTTTTGGCTTAAGTCGGCCAAACTTTTTTTCACTATTTAAAAATTCTCGATAAGTCGGCCAACGGCTCCAGTTCTCTTAGTTGGATGTGTCTCGATAAGTCGATTTCACGTGATAATTTGTAAGTTTCTTCGATTAAAGCACTAGACATATCATTAGATCATATGATTAAAGCAGTAAACATATCGTTAGAATCATACGATAGACATACATTAGAATAATACGATTAAAGCAATAAACATGTCGTTAGAATCATACGATCAAAATATGTAGAATAGATTTGTGAATTTGCTATATAAATAAAGGTAATTGATATCCCTCTGTCTTCGTTGACATCGTCAAACAAGTCAATTCTCTAAGACAAGCTAGTCTGCAAGATTATTTTGTGATGTAATTATATTAGTATATTAGTAATAATAATAAACGGTTTAATTAAATTTATATCTTCGAATCACGTGGTTTTCGATAAGTCGGGCATTTGTGGCGGGATACTGCTGACTGTGTATTAATTAATTCACACCAAAGTTAATGTTAATAACAACATTGCGTCAGTTCAACTATTCCGGTCGAATTTACAACGGACCTCATTGGATAAAATCGGGTCATGGATTGCCAGAAAAAAGGCCCACGGAGTGAGGATGTTCCCACTTCTAATTTTGTTATCGTTAGCAGTAATGAAAATAAATTTTTAGGTAGTAGTACTATATTCAGTAGCAATGGATGATAATAGCTAATGTGGGAACTGCCATTTTCACTATGTAAAAGGTTTAGGATCCGGCAGGCATTATGCTTTATTTGCACTTCCATAATTTAGATTTAATCGTGTGACCTCTAATTGTTACTATAAATTCTAAAACCTGATCAACTAACATTTTCTTTGTGAAAAGTTTTCGCTTCGTTTTCACATTCCCTAAATCTATTATTCCCATGCCCGAATGAGGGCAGAAATGGCCGGGCGCAAACGTTTCAAAGGATATCAGTAAATTAGAGGACTCCTGAGAAGGTCTCAGCATATCAACATATCTTTATTGGATTTTTTATAAAAATTAAATTATCTTTAATATTAACAACGACGTTCTTTAGCTGTTCTCAACAAGCCTATCAAAAGATCACCTTCGTCGATTGCGCCTTTTACATTTTTTGCTATTTCACGAATATCTTTTTCAGTAACAATAATATCCTTTTCCGAGCGGAACTTCTCCGTAAGATCTGAAACAACTTTGCCCAAGATATATCTATCGATGATATAAACCTTCTTGTTCGGATCATTATAATTGCAGGCTTGGAGGTTTTTTTTGACAGTTTCGCTTGTCTCTTTTATAAGCTTTTTCTTTGCTTCTTCTTTTGTCATCTCCTCGCTTAATTTTAGGAAATAGATATGTGTTTGGGAATTTGTCCGAACAAGGAAGGTAGGTATAGGTACTTCCATCTTTTCACATGAAGTGAGGATTTGTATGTCAGTCTCCATGATTCGGTCTTTCCAACATACGATAATAAAGTCAAAAATAAAAAGCCCTTTATCAGTGAAATATTGCCACCATCTGTTTGCTTGTGTGCCAGCACCTGGAATATCGTACCAGACAAAGTTCTGGAATATCGAGCTTCTGTCCGGATATCGCTTTATGTCCATAGTTGTCTCATTGATGCCAACTTTGGCCGCACCTTTATCCATATCTTTACAACCTCGGAGAGCATTGACTAAAGAAGATTTCCCAGTACCGGCATGTCCAGCGACAGCGAAATGGTAAAAAGAGTTGCTAGGGTCTTCGAGCATAGACTCGGCCTTTTCAACTTGCGCCTTGTTCAAGTTACCTTGCACCTTGTTCAAATCATCTTGCACTTTGTTCATGTCATCTTGCATCTTGTTCATGTCATCTTGCTGCCTTTTCAAGATCGCTTCGATTGTAGGGTTCCGTCGGCTTGGAGCCGCGATAAAAGCTGCGAAGGCGGCATGTAGTACGGCGGCCCCTATTACAATGAATGTGTGAACCATTACTTTCAACAGAGAGTTGTCAGATTCCAATAAATAATCAGAAACTTTATATCTGACATGTTACGCGGTTCCCATATTTCGCCGTGTAACAAATAGCTCGTGTGATTTTCTATATATACGCTAATTTTATAACGATGTTAGCGCATTATTAGATATTGTGTAGTTGGGGATAAACTCCGATCATTTACCGATCACTTTTAATAGTAGACTTTAAATCGCAGACTTTTGAAAGCAAGCTGTACTATAAAACAATAGTAATACTTTGTTTTCTTTGACAAAATTATGAGGCTGCATATTAATATGTAAAACTTCTTTTTAGTAATATTTCTCCACTGTTTTATAACAAAATAAAAAACCCCCCACTATTTTCTTATAATGCAGGTGTTACAGTGTGTATTTATATAGTCTTCAATGAGCGTCGTTCAAAAGCCTTAGCAGTTTGTATATTTTTACTGGCTTGTGACGCAACCCCCATATAGTATATAAATTCTCATAACAATAGGGCAGGCTGCACATTTTACCACATGAACACAAAGTGGTTAGTGTGGCTGTAGATTGACCAATTACAATATGACTGACATAACAATAGTGGCGCTCCGCTCATGCATATTGTTAACATTAAATGTCAGAATGTAAATATGGTGTCATATTCATGATTAATAGATAATTATTTCTGTATAAAAATCGTTAATATGAAACTAATTTACCATGGGAACCAAAGAATTACAGCACTATTAGAAGTATTTTAATCAAAGAACAAGGTAAAAAATTGCACCTTATGTTTTTAAATAAATGCCATCTAAACTTATCTAGATAATGGAAAAATCACTTACGAAATTTATCAAGAAGAACAAATAAACGAACATTATTACCCATCTATGATAAAAACGAAGAAAACCAAGTTCGCAGGCCATCGAATAAGCTGATTATCTCTCTCATCTTTTTTATAATCTACATATCCCTAAAGCTATAAGTCCAATTAATAATAATAAAAAAACTTACTGCAATTTGTTTTGCCTTTATCTTTTAAGTATTTGGTTCCTTTACATGACAATTAGTGTATAATCGGAAGACATATACTGTATATATTTTTTATCAGTAATATTTGTATCTGCTTTTTTTATTATCATCAATAAAAATGTTAAATTCAGGGGCAAATTTTCCATGGTTCTTTGTCAATGATGGAACTTTTATTTTACCATTAGCGTTGGGTAAGTATGAAAAGTAAAAACACTAGAATAGACTTGTTTGGTCGACGAATCACACTGTTCGTAACCGTAACATATTTATATCAGTAATAATAATGAACATGCAATCTTATCACTTATCGGCACCTAATGCGCTTATTATAAAAATAACACGACTCGCACTTATATTTTGTCCTAGAAAAAAAAACTTCTAAACATCGATATTGAAACAATTTATCCTATGAAAAAGCAAGCAACATATCATTCAAAAATGCTTGCTTTCTCTATTGAATTCTTTTGCGGGTTGTTGATCTTGATCCCTCGATCCATTGTGGAATTTACAGCCAGCTTAACAAGATACACCAAAGCTCAAAGCAATGTTGAGCCTGGAAACCGAAATCTAAAACTATTAGATATAGAGGGAAAATATCAAAAATCTATGGAAACTTATTTAATAGAAAGTCTGGAGTTTTGCATTCTTTTATTGTCTACACCTACGCTTGAACGCTAAAGGTGTATCTTAGTAGAAAGTCTGGGCTGGACTCGGATAGCAAACTGGGAAGTGAAACCCGCAAGTTATGGCTAATTTGAAAAAGTTCTATCTAACCCTCTCAAACAATGTCGAAGCAGTTCAAGATGAGATATAGAAAGGAGAAGGAAAATGATGTTAATAGTAACAATAATAATAGGTAGCATAGATTTCACTAGCGCGACCAAAGTATAGAGATACGAGTATTTCCTCCCATGCAATCGCTCGCAAATGTACTGCGCGTTGTTTGTAGAAAGCAATAAAGAAAACATCGACAAATTAAGTATATCAATTATTATTATCGTAAACTGCCTGCTTATTTAATTCATATGTGAAGTCCTAAAAAAAAAGCATCTCGCATAGGCTCCCAACTACGTGTATACATGGTCACTCCATACCTGCAGTCGTGACACTATTTAAACTGCGGCTCATCATAGATTAATCTGAGTCACATGCACTACGATACGTAAGCTGAGGTGATTGCCAACGTGATATTCGCAGCCAACAACACTGGAAAGTCATTCGTAATCGAAGACCCCCAACTCTAACTCTAATACAGTGAACTACTGTCTATAGTCATTTTGGCACAATGCAAATTTTGATTATATAGACAGAGTAAATTCCTTATGAAACTGCACTAGAGAGAATGTAGGAAAGTGTGACTACAGACAAAGTTTTTATATGGTGTGACTATAAACGAAGGGACGACAGTAGTTCACTGTACAGTGCATCAAGTTTTTGGCAGTTCCAAAAGTGATTGATGATTACAACCACTATATGGAAGGTGTTGATATTACTGACCAATTAAGAGGTTATTATAACTGTCAGCCATCCTGATGCCACCGAAAAACAAAGAATCATACGTACGGACTGTGCATATATAGCATCAAAACAAGGTAAGCAAGCAATAAATCGCGTTTATTGGGAGGATAGTAGAAAGTTATCTACATATCGAGCTGCACTCATAGCAGAACTAGGTTATCCATAAATTCGTTAGTTAGCATAATCATATACCTTCATACACCACACACTCCTTGTTAGTATAGCTTTAAATAATGTCTTAATTTGTGTGCTGCTTTCTTTGTTGCAGTCTTCTCTTCCACCATTTATTCAACGTTATACATTCTCCATTCATCTATATCAACTCATACCCAGTACGGTATTGGCTGCAATATTAATCTATAGCATTTCCTTCTTCTTTTTTTGGTATAGACCTGGCATAAGAAAACGAACCGTTAATTCAATAGGCAAGACATTCCTTTACTTCTAAGCCCATGCAAAATATCACCGGTCGTTTCAGGCATGCCAATAACCCCATACAAATCAGTTATGGCAGCTATGCGGATAAGTTTTTGGACCACACCATCAAAATCCAGAATCTCTGCCAACGGCTCATCAGAATTATCAGACTATTGCTCAAGCGCACGTCACGACTTACGCAGAACAAATGAAAGTCACCATGCAAAAGTTTTAGAAACGCTCAAAAAGTATTAAGAAAGGTGACTTAGTCTTTCTTCATATTCCTAATGCCGACAAAAATAAGCCAATATATTCAAAAATCAAAAGAATGCCTTCCGCCAGCTTTACACAATCTCCGGTGCTGGACGAGAGCTATATATAACGTGTCCCATACGTGCTTTGTTTAATCACAGGAAGATCATAGAGTATGTTAGTGCAGGTTTTAGAGCTGACCTTATGCGGATCAGACAGCGCAGAACAGGCGCCTGATTGAAATGATCCATTTCGTGTACATATATAGACGAAAAATTTGCAAGATCAACTACGGAATTCCACTGAAAATAGATATTGTATCATATAGAAGGTGATAAGTTGTTTTAAAATACAGGTAGAAATAAACAATTTTGGACTTAATTAGGCTCCGGTATGAGTTATAGGCCGGCGAAAATTCCCGGTTCTAGTTCAACGCTAAAAACAAACCATTTCGGATAGTTTAATGCTTATATATATAGACGGTTACTGCACAAGTTCACATTACACTTTCAACTTTTTTATGTCATCTATATTTTTGTAACATCTCAAACAAACGCGGTTTGAAAATTAGACGAGGAATTGTCAAAAGTACTCATGTCATCAATGTTTTTGTAACATCTCGTTCGTATATTTAGATATACTGAAAGGTGTTGTTTTATTATTTAACAAGTACTCATCCATTTTAACAGTCAGGTAAATTGTAATGTTACATACACAATTATAACAGAACATGTCTACTTATTGAGAATTGATTCGCTACCTTTCATACTATTATTTGTGTTATAAATATGACGTCACAATTTTTCGGTAGTTATCATGCATATTAATTAATATACGAGTTACGCGTGTGTAACTCATATACCCACTTAGCCGAAACGTAATAAGAATGTGCTTAAACTATGCACCAAAACTTAATTAATTATTAGCATCAGCATGATAATTGCCATTGACAGCATAGAATTATACAAGTAATAGGAAAGAAAAGATGCCTATAAAATAGAGACGTCCAAAACCCGTTTGACTCGAACTACTGAACCATTCAATTTTCATGTAAGTACACATACACATTCACTTTAAAAGCATTTCCGACAACGCGTACTAGTAAGAGATAACAACAATATTGAAGAAATAGAAGAAGGAGTGGTGAGGAAGAAAATGATTTATTATTATTAGAAATCCGGGTCCCGTTCGGAATCCGAAATACATTTCGATCACGGGACACAAGCCTCAGACGAGAAAGTATTTGATGCTGGAATACAAAAAAGCCTTCTCTGGTCGGGTTACGTGCATGTGCGGACGTAATAACTTATAACAAGTTTATATAAAGACTTTAGAACGTGGTAGAACTTACAACACCTCACTCGAGAAATTTACTCATTCAACGACAACATGGGTAAGTATTGTCGTTTCGTCAGATGCCGACACAGCATATCCTCTAAGCTAACTTTAGCTTCCCATTGATAGGAGGCATGTTCAGCAAGGTCTTGGGAAAGTTGTGGGGTGAGAAGGAGGTTCGAATACTAATTCTAGGTTTAGATGGTGCGGGTAAGACGACAATACTATACAGACTACAG